TTGATATATTGTTAATTCAATAGTTTTATTAACGCGAACAAGTTCTTAAAGTTATTAAATTAAGTTATTATCCTTCAGATACTTAAAACCTTGCTATACGTGTTGAAGTCTATTTTTCGGTCAGTAGACTTCGTAATCGACTTGTATAACAATATAATCAGTTTTCTGTGCAAATTTACGAGATCCTTTTTATACAGTACTAGCCAAATTTCCTCTTCACCCTATTTTAGAAAATTATTAAATAAGAAAAAATAGCGCTACAGGGTTATTTTATAGCTGATACTAGAAGTAGTACTTATTATATATCCTATATAGCAGGATTTTCAGGCAATTCTCTCATTACTATATTTATTAATAGCGTAAGTACTTTACAGACATACGACGCTTCGTTAATCAGTTTCCTCTTCTTTATATAGGCTTCATACTTAGGTGACTTCCAAACTTTAAACCTATAAAAGATCCCGTCCATTTTCATTATTTATACTGTAAGCTAACATAAAAAGACAGAGTATAGTAAGTAAAACTCAAGAGAACTTACAAAGATTTTAGTATTTTTCTTATCCTTTCTTGAAGCCTCTCAGAGCTATCTAACCATTTTCCAAATTCAACATTATTCAAATCTTTATCCAAATTTATCTTTGATTCCTCATTATAGATAATTTCTCTACAAGTATCTATCATCATATTATTATGATCTAGCTTGTATTTCTCGAAAGGTTCCTTAAAAATATCGCAAAATGATCCAGGCATCTTTGTGAAAAGTTTCAATTTATCTAGAACTTCAGAACATATAGGATGGTCAAATCCAAGGCTTTCAATATCAATTTCTTCTAATTCTATCTCAATTCTTTCCCACATAGATTTTTTATGACCAGAACTATTATTTACAACCCATCTAACATCACGTTTTAAAAGCTGTAGATTTGCATTGGCATCTTCAGACCATGTCTCAACATCAATTACCAAAGCTTTTATTCCTATGAGCGAGCATAAATCTTCAAATGCAGTCTCCACCTAAAATATAGTTATCTTTAGCTTAGGCTCAATGTTAATTTAATAAATTAAACTAAATATCACTTCACGAGATCAGATTAGGTTTTCATTTTCATATACTATCAAAATGCTAGTAGTAGATCAGCCAAAAAGCATGCTCGCTAGACATATATTACTAGTTACTACCATGTAAAAATGATAGAATCATGTCAAACATAGCGCATTTACTAATATACATGCCAAGAAAACCTAAAAATACAAATCATCATATCCATATATTTATCATAAAAATAATTCATTATCTTACTCATTTTGCCAATTTTTTTTAGTACCAAAACTTCGAATCTTCTTAATCTATTCAACATCCTTTAAGGGAATCTGCTCTAAACTCTCTCCAAAACATTTTTAAAATACTCCACTTCCTTTTTGAGAATGCCTGTCTATTCACCTTTCTCTATTCGTATAAACAATGCTGTAGAAATTCTAACAATATCAAGGGATTCTCTTGTTAAAAGGAATTCTTTTATATTTTGATAAAATAAAAGTTGAATGTTAGTATAAAGCTTGCTAAGCAAAGTAAAAAAATAATGTAAAGGCGTAATAATTTCACTATACTGCCTTTTTAATATTTGTAATTTTCTCATTCACATCTCTCTGTCGAAGCAGATGAATATGCAATGCTTTTTATGCCAAAAATGTTATATTCAAGAATAAGGGCATGTAGGGTATGTATTGAAGATCTTAACATTTAGAAAGGCATTAGGGGTAATGCATTGAAATTGTGCTTGAGTGGCTTACTGATAATAGGCAAGAAAGAGGTCAGAAAGATAAAAACAGGCGAAATATTGGTAATCCAGATGAGCAGAATTATATATAGGAAAGAGAAAATAAATTTTGCGTATCTGGGTTACCAATTAAAGAGCTTCTGAAATAGCAACTATACGAGAAAAAGGTCAGAAAAGCGTTGGGGTAATACATATATAGATTTTTTTCGTCTGTCTGGATTAGGATAGATTATCTTCTTCAGGTCTATGACTGAAGGAGAAGAAAAAAATTCATAAAATTATTTTGTCGCACAAGCAGATGGTCGCACTTGCACAGATGATTGGTAGTATATCACTATTTCATCATATATATTTTAACGAGAATCAAAAATATGTTTATTTATACTTTACGCCTTTAATAGCTGTCGCACAATGCCTACATGTATTAGCTGTAAGACGCAAGCAAATATGAAGCTAATATAATACATTTCCCTATATAGAACTATTTTTTTATTTATGTATCACTTTGATCATATTTTAAAAAAATTATGTGTGCATGACGAATCATCACGCCGATCACTTTTGTCAAAAAATAATCACTTTTACCAGGAAAAAAATTATGTGAATAGTTATACATATTAATTATCTATACATTTTTTCGTATAGAATTGAGATATCATGTTTGTGGTCTAGGACCTTTCAGAGGAAGGAGTCTGGTATAAAGTTGTGTTCTATAATTTAAGAAATACTTCAGTTCAAACGCATTTGTATTATGCTGAATTAATGCAAAAGGCTTTGGTGGCAAAGGAGAAGGAATCTTATTTACCTTAGACATGATATTTTCAACAGATAATAGTTACTATAAAAGTCTGTTGGCTAATTCTTGTCGTGATTGTCTTTCAGCCAATTCTTGTTGCAATTGTCTTTTAGCTAATTCTTATTGAAATTATCTCTCAGCTATCTCTTGCTGTAACTGTTTTTCGACTAATTCTTGACGAGATAGTCTATTAGACAATTGGCGTCTCTTATGCTCAGAATAACTTATATAATTATGAAGTTGATCTTGTGGAATATGATAAGATCTATATCTTCCATCAATAGAATAGCATATATTCATATTACAGTACAAAGATAATCTCTACCAGGCATTTTAAGAAACTTCTTTTCTTTAGGAGTGTTATCATTTCTAACTGCTTCCCAAACTTATTTTGCTAATGAAACTGGCCTCTTCCTGTAATTTTGATAAGCTTTTTGGATAAGCCGAGCACTCATACCTTGGGATTTAGCTTTAGAGCATTCATTATCCTAATGATATTTCATCAAGTCCTCAGATTTAATCTCATATCCATATCTGCGCCATTCATCGAAATATTTCTTTTTTGGTTTTATATCAGTAATCTTTACCAATTTCCAGCAATTGAAATAAATAGCCATATTACTCTTATAGATTTTGGGTCGATGATAGATAGAATTAACCATCTGACCATTCTCAAACCCTGCAAACAAACAGTGTCGGTGATATATACTAAATTTCTGCTTGGTTAATAATTCTTGTAGTCAAATTCTAACACTCATTGCCCATCCAACTAGAGATTGGCCTGGCTTCACAACTGATAATGTATCATATTCCCACTTTATTTTGATTATTTTCTCAATATTGGTACCAAAACAATAATTCCTTATATGCACTAACATATTTCATATTCTATCCAGGGCGATTATTAACAGGTTTAGGTACAACCTTATTAAAACTCTCATATAGAATAATATTAATAATAGTCATGTTTGATGATTATAGACAATAAATAAGACTTATAGCAATTTTAGTGATTTATATTATTTTAGCGAATATTTAGCGTTATAGCAGTTTGTATCAAGTATATTATAATAAAATATCAGATTCATTTTTTATTCGATTACAAGTATTTTAAGGGTTTATATAAGGTCACATCTGGCTATATGCATATTCACCCGCGTGGGTATGTAAGGGATTTTCCAATGGTATAATTTGGTTAAATTAGTTCGAGATAATATCAGAGGTGTATGACGTATCACAAGAATCATCCTAGCTCCTTACCAGTTTTACAACAGTTCCCTAATACTATCATGGTACTGAGATGCTTCTCAAATTATGGGGATGATTGCAGCCCGGAAAATTCAGAGTATAAGATGATCCAATACAGGCTGTGTGGATTTCTCGTGATTAACAGGTGCCAGACGCTTCGCATATTATATCCAGGAGTGATTAGCATATTTTTGTGCACATTACCTATATACAGCATACATTTGGTTAAAACGACTTGCAAATTAACTTTATTTATTAATCATAAGAAATAGCAAAGATAAACTAAAAAATATTTTGATATGTGATGCAGGGTCACATAGCGTGAACTATAGTTCACGCGGTTTATAATGATTCCCGAGTAAAATGAGCTATAATACTTTTGATTTGAATACCTGTAAGCTTTGAAATATTATTCGCACTATAGGATTGAACCCTCTTAACTTTTTTAATCCCTATTTTACTGAACAATTCGAAAATATTTCTTGCTTTCTGTGTCTTCTTACGTAAATTTTCTCTTGTAATATTTGAAAGATGTTTTAAAATTGCATTATATACGTGGGTCCTAGCCTGTTGATCTTTAACCCTCTTATCATTATCTTTAACATCCTTAACACATTTTTCAAACCGTTCAACATAGTAGTACCAACAGTGAATTTCCTCTTAATAAGCTTGAGTTACACGCTTTTCAGCCTTAATTGCTTTTTAGAATAATCGAGCTAAATTCTGCGAGATCGAACCTTCAGAACCCTCATCCTCATTACTGGTTTCAGTAGTCTTCCCCTTAATAGGTATAGATAATTCATGTAACAACCCTCGAAATCTTTCCTGTTCACGATTGGTTCTTGGGGATGTTTCTCTTGATAATCGGATTTGTGTATTAGCAATGTCATCCATCTTCAGTTGTTTGATTAGTCGAATTATCCATCCTTCAATCATATATTTCAGGAAATAAACAGAATGAAAGGTGAGTGTGATTACTACATATTCCATTTTCACTGCATTACCTACCTTATTTGAGAACTATGATTGTTATTCCTATCATCATCATTTTCAGCATCATCGATGATATCTAATAGCTCTGGTATCTCTTCCACATACGCAATTGGACTTGTCGCTTGATCATGTGTAGTAATTTCAGTTCTCTTTCCCCCCTGACCCGCAAGAGAATCTTCATCTTCTATAGTATCATCACTTAAGGGGTTTTTTTTTCTGAAATCATTTTTCTTAAACACCATGTGATACTCACCAGAAGCTAGTGCAAGTTCCTCCCTAATAAGTTCGATAGGTGATATACAACTAGAAATAAGGCATAAAGGAAAACGTGTTTTTGATCGTACAATATGTTTTTCAAGACATATTCGATGGTATATATGTTCACATGATAATACTGTGAATG